TGAGGTGGGACATAGGAAGACACTTAGAAAAACATAAAATTGCTCTCTTCTTTACTGAGACAAGTGATCTGTTTCTTATACGGGAGTTGTGCTCCCAGGTGTACTGTGGGGCAGCAAGAATAAATACTAGATACGAGAGTACTGTAAATGAACAGTGCCAAAGCTGGCATTGGAGTCAAAGTGGGAAGGATGAATTTGTGACCTAGGGAAAACTGGATGTGCAGAGCTACAGAGGGTCCTCAAATGAGAATGACTCCAAGCAAGGGATGGAGTTTGGCACTCAGAGGGCAGGATAATGGAAAGGAGTTAGTAACTGATAATATTGTAGAAATATGATGTAGACATTTAGACCTTACATCTGTCATAATGCAAGACAGATAGCATAACTAGTATGCAGAAGACACACTAGAAAAGAAAACATTAAGTATTTTTTAGATAAAACATTGCTTTTTTTTCCCCACCCAGAAATAAGCTTGTGACTAGCTCGTGGTGATAGGAAGTAAATTCCCACTGGGCCAGGCTGTTACTGTACATCTTGCATCCTCTTCTGAGGGAGGTGGGATCAGAGGGAGGTAGAAGCAAGTCATGGTGAACCAACAGTGCCCTGGGTTGATCTAGTTTCATTGTTCCTACAGCTGTTTGGGTGGGGAAGAGACAGTAGATAATAAAAGACACATAAGGAGAGAAAAGTGTGGATTTTGAGTTTTAAAGGAAAGCATCAAATCAACTGAGATAAAATAAATGAAGTGACTAAGAACCAACCCTTTCCTGCTGAACTGTTGATAGGAGATCAGTTGAGTAAGGGATTTTTTAGTTAAAAGAGGCAGAGCTGAAGCAATTACTAGCTAATTATACATGGGAAGACTGCCAGGGAATGGGTTGTGTGAAGGAAAAAAAAGGCAAAAACAAGAGAGGAAAGATTTGGGCAGGGTAAGGATGAAATACGAGTCTAGAGCAAGCACTTGATACAGAGAAAGCAGTAAACTACTTGAAAAGCACCAAAATGTATGTGTATGTAGCAGAAAAACTGATGAAAGGAGCAATATGGAAAGGGAAAAGAAAAAAAAAAGAAAAAAAAGGTAATCTAGCTCAGGGCACCAAACATTATTGTCAACTGTGAGATTACCTTGAAATTAAAGCTTTTACTCAGGAGAGGCTAACACACTGGTTATTTTCATTTTGAAGAAGAGTAGGCTGTGGGGTGAAAACTTAGAGCTGGCATCAGCCACCTAATGGGAGGATATGAAGAAGGTGTAGGCACAAGGTGGTAGAACACGAGATGACACACACAAGCTGTAATAACCTCTTATTACATCTTACTAAAATCTCCTTCTACATAGGAAAAAGTAATTTCACCACAGGTGTTGTCAAACACTGGAATAGTTGCCCAGGGACATTGTGTAATCTTGATTTTTAGGAATAATGAAAACTAGACTAGAATAGGCCTTGAGTGACATAACCCAATTTGGTCCTGCTTTGAGCAGTGGTTGGAGAAGATCACTTCCACAGGTCCCCACAATGTAAATTATGCCATGGTTTTAAAGGAAGTATCTTTTAAGTGATTAAAATTTGAGAAGAGCTTATCGTGCTTTTTTCTTTGCTTATAATTATGTGCATATTTTTACCAGACTACTGAAGCTTTTGCTCTAACATAAATCTTTTCTTATCCTTATATACTGAAAAAAGTTTATCCAGGCTGGTCAGAAAGGGCATCTTTTAATAATAAAAAAATAAACATGAAATACTCTTTTGATTCCTTCTGCAATCAGAAGGGACTACATATAGCCATAGGACACTGGCAATTTTACAGAATCCTTACAGTTACTGCAGATGACAGGCAGACCTTTTGCTTGCTTAATACTCTTAGGGAAAGAAGAGAGAAGAAGCAGGCATGTGGATGGCTAACCTCTCTTACTCCTCCTCCTCAGCCAGACATAGGGAGAAAAGCTTGAGGGCAGAGGTAAAGAAGTTATAAAGACTGGGAGCTTGTTTACCAATTACTATCACAGGCAAAACAGACTTGGCTTGGGGAAATTTAATTTAATTTATTGCTGATTAACATAGATTTGGATAATGAGAAAACAAAAACAAACATTGAAACAACACCCTTCCTCCTCCCTCTCCCAAGCTCAGCTTAACTCTTTCCACTCCAAACTTGTTCTTTCCTCCTCTCTCTGACGGGAGTTTTCTGTCTTCAGCTAAATACATTTGTACAGAAGTGCCACAGATATGGCCAGTCAGTTCAGCTCTGTCCTGAACTCTGTCCTTCTTCATTCAGAAGTCAGCCTAGCACTTTATCTAGCAGTCATTTATCTTCTTCTTTTTGTCCACAATGCAATTCCTGAAATACTTTAAAAATGTCTCAGTAATGAATTGAAAATATGACTTTCAAAAGCATCTGGTAACTTAAATCCTATATGACTTTTAACTAAATGGGAACGATAAGCAGTGGGCAGTGTATCCCATGAAACACATTATTTAATTGTTTGTGGGGATGGATTCGGGAACAACTGTTTTCAGTAACGAATATGCCAATCGGAGAGAAGTCTTGGGAGAACAGGCAATCAGTCCAGAATTTTGGGAACCAGTAGCCTAGGACAGCCTAATCACACAGAACGTTCTGCTTCCATCCTTCTACAAGGAAAAACACAAGTTGCAGAAAACCCTACCAGGTAAGGTTCTCTGTGTGTATAAATCTACCCAAAGAAAAGGAGCTAAGGTCTCAACTTCCTTTTTTTCCTCTGTAAACTCCCATTCTTCTTTCTGACCGTTCAGCATGAGAAGTCTGCTCAGATAAGGTCAAAAGTGAATCCCATACACAGAGTCTATCCCACATCAGCCAGAGGGCTTACGAAAGGTTGTTGTTTCACTCTTCTATCTAGTTGAAGAAATTTGCCATGTAGTAAAATACAGCAGGCAGTCTCATAAAACTAATAAAAGAAAGTATCGTAACTTATGATAGGGGGCAGGGGGAAAAAACAAGGGCTTTCTATCTATCTGCTCAGAATGGCTCTTGGCAGATTCTTTGTTCTAAATAAAGAGGTAACAGCTGGTCCAGGAAGGACTCCACAGGCTTGCATATGGTGAGGGGGAAGGCATGCCCACACACTCTTCTACTAAAGTGTAAGAAGGAAACTTGCTTCTCCTTTCTATCCTTGGTTGATTCTTCAGTCTTATTAAGAAGAGTTCTCTGCAGTATCATCAGTAGAAATCTGCCCTTGGGCTATTGCTTTTGTTCTGTATTTCATCTAGAACACTGTAGCAGCTCTGTATCATGGTGTACTTCTGTTCTTAGGAAGGGAGAACATACATATAAAGGCAACGTGCTGGAAAGGACTCCACACAAAGAAACAACAAGCAAGGGAAGAAATCACGAACTGAATGTGGCTCCATTCAGGACAGTAACATATTGTTAGCAGGAGAAGAGATCAGGAACACTGATCAAGCCAGAGGAGTTTACAGGAAACATGGGCAGAAAAAAATACCCTCTAACATTAAGATTCATTATTTGTTTGTCTTCGGCTGCTCTAAGCTGCTCGTGGAATCTCAGGAAGCAAATGACGGGAATGGAGTTTTGCAGCTTGATAGACTGTCATTGTTTCAGTTATTCCTTATAGTGTTTACCATTTTCATCTCTCTCCAGCTTCTGTGATAATGAGGCTGCAAGGAAGTATCAGCTTTCATTGAATGGTATGAAAAATGGAAGACAGATTTGTTAAATTTTTATTTACCAAGCCTAATTTCATTATTTTTTGAGTGTTTAAGACTACTATCTGATATTAAATTATTGACTGGCAGTTTATCTAAACTGGGAACTAGTCATGCTACTGATGCAGACAGCAGAACTAGTGCCATACAGAGCTGCTCTACATCCACCTGAGCCTACTGTCTCAGGAGAAGCACTATAGGAATGTAGTTACACACACATTTTAATTATTCTCAAAGTTTAAAACAAACGAAAAGCACTTACCAATTTTAATTGCTTTATAAGTCTCCAGCACAATGACCTGTATTTTAATAAAGCTATTTTACATGACTCAAATCACTTCATGAAGCACAAATGTAAAGTAATATATTGACAGCCATTAATTATCTCTTGCACTTGCACTTGGTGTTAACCAGGATATTTATACGCCTAATGTCCGACTCAAACTCTTATTTGAATAAATTATAATCTGACTTTAAAATTGTATCTGCAGTCAAAAGTTGTTTCCACATTACATTAATCTTTTTAGATTAGTAAGCGTGGTGCAGCAACATTTACATTGCTGAGAGATTTTGAGTAGATGCATATTAAAACAAAGGAAGCATGAGAAGAACGTTCTACAAAAAATTACACAACCAACAGAAGCAGTTTCCTTTAATGGACAGTCTTAAGCTTCAGATAGGAATGCAGTCATGACATTAGACTGGGTGTTCAGGCTTGGTCAGATTTTGGCCCAATATCACTTCCAGGTGATACATAATTTATTCTATTTCCTCCAACAAACACAGAACATATAATGGGCCCCTGGGCAGAGAGTACATTACTCGTAATAATAATACCATTATGACTATTTTTTCTTGTCAGGTCAGCCCTGACACATGTTCCCTGTCCCACGACCAGAGTGTTGTCATTTCCCCTTTTTTTTTTTTAATTACTAGTTCCAACATCACTAGCAAAAGGGCCAAAACTAGCCAGGAAAGTAGAGTGTATTAGCTCTGAGCTCAGGTCTGCTCTATGTGGCATGTTTCTTCTAACACTGTTGCCTCTTGCTAAAGAAGCAAGCAGCAGCATAGTTTTAGCCAAAGCACTAAATTGAAGAGTACCATTCCTAAACCCCTCCAGCTCCAATTTGAGGTACTAGAAGTGTCAGAAGAGACTATTAGTAGGCGTTCACTGTAAGAAATGGTTTAACCCCCTTAGCTCTGTGAACTTTTCGCTAGCGCCAAATACTGCTGATACAGAGAATCAACAAAAAAGTGGCTGCCTAAAGGGTGGAAAAAAATGGTTCTCTCACCTTCGCAGGCTCGTTCATCATCAACAGGCTGGTAGCCAGCCTTGCAGGTACATCGTCCAATGGCCACCATCCACTCCCCTTCTCCATTGCAGTGCAATCGAACACTTGAAGACCCCGTCGTGCTTGTCTCTTCAGCATTTGGCACACACGTCCCTGGTGACTCCACCAGTGAGGTCCTCTCCCCTCCAGCAAACGTTTCAGGAAAGGAGGCAAATCCTTTCACCACAGCTGGGCACTTGTAGAAAAAGACTTGGACTGCCACCAGGGACATGCAGGCTCCTGAGTCCTGGAAGGCCAGGTAGAAGCCATGCTTTGTAAGTGGTCCAAAGCTACGTACTTTAACATTCATCTTTACCACCTTCCCAGTGCTGTCCACCTGGGAAAAGCTTTCATCAGCTGCAATAGTATCCACTTTGGTCCAGGGGCCCTCGCGCCACTCTGGCAGGTCCTGAGAGGCTATGTCAGCCTCCGACTGGTGATAGTAGAGTGTGAAAGTCTCCTTGCAAGAAGAGGCCACAGTGCGCATGCTGGCACAGTCTCTCACTGAGAAACGGAGGCGGACATGGACTCGGTGGGCTCCGCGTCTCTCTATGAAGTGAGTACGCAACCAGTTGTTCTGCCCTGGTTCAGCCACATTACAGACTTGAAAGGTCCGGATCAGGCGCTTCTTGTCATCCAGGACACTTACCTCATCCCACTACAATGGAAACAGGCGAAAGAAAAGAAAAAAGAAACAGTAAAAAAAAACCCAACCAAAAATAAAAAAATTCAGTGCTCAACTGCATCAAAAATACAGGACAGGTCTTTGTCTTCCCCTTCCTTCTCTTTGCCATGTCTGGGACAAGACTTGAACCTGCTGATGCTATGAGCAGCACAGCACTCTATACAGGACAAAGTATGACCTGTAAAGAAGAGTGATCAAAGTTTTGAAGTAAGAACTGTTGTGACAGAAAACATAACTAATACAAACTTGTCACATGGCATTCAGAATCTTAAAATTGGAAAGTCACTTTCTTCCCTCCTATTTCCCCATGTCTTATCTCCAGAGACAAGACACACAACATAAACAAATGAGACAGAGCAACAGACGCTGTTCTTTGGAAAACACATTAAAGTCCCTTCTACCCAGCTTTACCACAGTTGGAGCTATCCTCTGACATCTCCTATGCACACAAGCCACTCTGCAGGGCCACTACAGGGGCAGGCCCAGATCTGGTTTGTGCCAGGAGGAAGGCACAAAGGAAGGACAAGGAGGGGTTCCTGTACTGGAAGTGTGTTATGGTACAAAGCTGTAAGAGAAACCCCTTCTTACCCTCTTAGTTGGCTTTATAGAATAGGTACAAGGTCCTGAGTATGACAGAGGAAGTGCACAGTGAGACAGAAGAGAAGGGACCTGATCAAACATTCTTGTGAAGATCTGACCAACAAACTCCTTGCAACATGATCTGCATTAAACCCATACCAAGAAGAAACAATGGCAAGTTATGGTCATTAGTGACTCTGTCTTGCATGAAACAGAAGCACCCACTTGCAGATCAGAACATCTTTTTAGGCAAATTTGCTGCCTCCCTGGGGCCCAGTTTAGGGATGTCACCAGATGATGGAAGACCTTAGTACAGCCTTCAGACTATTACCCACTCCTGCTTTTTCACATGGGTACTAGTAATGTCCCAACAAAAAGCACAAAGTTGATCAAGAGAGATTTTAAGGCCCTGGGAAGAATACCAAAAAATTCAGGAGCACAGGCAGTGGTTTTCCTAATCCTCTCAGTAACGCTGAGACACTTTGGAAGAAACAAGTGATCCCAAGATATCAATACCTGGCTTCAGGACTGGTGCTTCTGCCAAAATGACAGGATCCATTGTCCCAACAGGAGAAACACATCTTTGCTCATAAACTGGATGGACTGATTGAGAGAGATCTAATCTAGAATTGATGAAGGAAGGGCATACCAACAGGAGAGCTGGAGGTAAACCAAGAGTTGGCATGGCATAGCCTGGGGATAGCAGTGCTGGTGGAAATATATATGCTGCTTTTGGGAGCATGGAGGGCTCAGGAGCACAACTGAAATATTTGTACATCAATGCACACAGTATGAATCCTGGAATGATAGAACATCTGAGTTGGAACGGACCCACAAGGATCACAGAGTCCAATTCCAAGCCCTGCCACAGATCCACCACAAGAATCACACCATGGGCCTGAGAGTGTTGTCCAAACACTCCTTGAACTCTGGTAGGCTTGTTGCTGTGACCACTTCCCTAGGGAGCCTGTTCCAGTGCCCAATCACCCTCTGGTTAAAGAACTTCTTCCTAATATCCAGCCTAAATCTCCACTGACACAGTTTCATGCCATTTCCTCGGGTCCTATGACTGGTCACCAGAGAAAAGAGATCGGTGCCTATCCCTCCACTTCCCTTCATGAGGAAGCTGCAGACTGCAATGAGTTCTTCCCTCATCTCCTCTTCTCTAGTGGAACAAACCAAGTGACCTCAGCTGCTCCTCGTATGGCTTTCCATCTAGACCGTTCACCATCTTTGCAGCTCTCCTTTGGATACACTCTAACACATGCCCTTCTTATACTTCAGTGCCCAGATTGCACACAATACTCAAGGTGAGGTGTCGCAGCCTGGGTGAAGGAGAGGCTATGACAGCACACAGGGTTCTTCACTCTGTTGTAGGTCTTTATTGTAGATGGTAAATGACGCAGCAGACAGCAGGCATGCTGACCACATACACACAGCAGGAGTGAAGGATGCTATCCACAGACTGAGGGGAGAGCATGCCTTTTATAAGGTTCTGGATGGAAAGGGCTAGAACAAGGGAGGAGCATGGGATTGACAGGGTGCAACTACCTATGAGGAAGTAGAGATTTAGGTGAGGCAATTAGGAACCAATGACTGAGGGTTAAAGTGTTAACAGTGTCTCCTCCTGTGCGGCAAATTTCAGCCAATCAGAGAGGAGGAAAATCATGAGGGAGCTTAACATGCATGGACATGTCCTAACACCTAATACTGTATATAACTGGGGTACTCTTTTAACAAACATGCATTAACAATAATCATAAACCCATAACCGTACAACTCAAAACACGGATAAACCGCAATTAGTAGTAAAGTCCATTAGTACAGTCCAATCAATATCTCTCATAAACAGCACGCCATTTTCTGTATTCTTCTGTTCTTCTTTTCTTGTCCTTCTCAGTGAGGCTGCCCCAATGCAGACCAGAACAGGACAATCCCCTGCCTCAGTCAGCTGGTGATACTTTGCCTGATGCCCCCCAGGACATGGTTTGCCCTCCTGGCTGCCAGGGCACGGCTGACTCATATTCAACTTGCTGTCCACAAGGACACCCAGCTGCCTTTCCGGTCTGCTCTCCAGCCACTTGTTCCCCAGTCTGTACACACCCCATCCCAGGTGCAGAATCCACCTCTCGTTAAATTTCATATGGTCGGTGATTGCCCAATCCCCTAATTTGTCAAGGTCTCTCTGCAGGGCCTCTGCCTTCGAGGGACTCAGCAGCTCCTCCCAACTTGGTACCAGCAGCAAACTTACCTAGAATTCCTTTGAGTCCTGAATCCAAGTCATTTATTATGACATTAAGGCACACCAGCCCTAAAATGGAGCCCTGCAGAACCCCACTGTGAATGGGGCTACATTTGGTTGGTGACTGGTCAGCAGCAGTATTTCTTCGGCAAAATTCTAGGGCCAGTTCTGTGCAAGGTATTTATCAATGACCTGGATGTAGGTGTTGAAGGCACCATTAGTAAGTTTGCTGTCAAGACTAAACTGGCAGGTTCTGTCAACTCTCTGGAGGGACAAAAGAGCTTGCAGAGGTATCTGGATAGATTAGAGCATTAGGCAGTCATCCATGGCATGAAACTTAACAAGAACAAATGCCAGATGCTCCACCTGGGATGGAGTTACTCTGTACACAAGTATAAACTGGGAGAGGAGCGGATGGAGAGCAGCCTGTAGAGTGGGCCCTGGGGGTGCTGGTGGGCAGCAGCTCAGTGTGAGTCAGCAGTGTGTGTCTGGGCAGCCCAGAGGGCAAACCACGTCCTGGGGAGCATCAAACACAGCATCACCAGCCAGTCAGAAGAGGGGATTAACCCACTGTGCTCAGCACTGGTGTGGCCTCACAAGGAGTGCTGGGTGCAGTTCTGAGCCCCACCATTTCAGAGGGGTGTGTAAGTCCTGAAATGAGTCCAGAGAAGGGCAAAAAGTCTGGTGGATGGGCTGGAAGGCATATGCTGCGGTGAGCAGTTGAGGGTTCTGGGTTTGTCTAGCTTGTAAAAAAGGAGGCTGAATAGCAATCCTCTTGCTATCTGCAGCTTCCTGAGGAGGGGAAATGGAGGAAGAAGCTGATCCCTTCTCACTGGGTCTAGTGATAGGACGCATGGGAATGGTTCAAAGCTGCATCAGGGGAGGCTCAGAATTGACATTAGGAAACATTTCTTTACTGAGACGGTGGTCAGACACTGGAACAGGCTCCCTAGAGAGGTGATCAATACTCCAAGCCTGTCAGCATTTGACAATGCCCATAACAACATGCCTTAACTTTTAGTCAGCCCTGAAGTGGTCAGGCAGCTGGACTAAGTGATTATTGTAGGTACCTTCCAACTGAAATATTCTAGTCTAGTCTACTCTATTCTATTCTATCAGTGCTGAGGGATATTTATTTATATTAGGACAGTGGAAGGCAGATGGTAAGGAGGTGACAACAGTATACCACCCAGTATTCTCCTCTCTTAACAATCTGGCTTTGCACAACACATTGTGTTCAAATTGTTCACATGTACAAAATCCATAAACAAAGTCTCACTGCTTCCAGTTTCCCTTTCTTCATCAGATGCATGCACGTCTTCCCAGCAGAGGCACGGTAAAGAAGAGGACAAGGGAAATGCTTACCCCATCAGAAGGGTGTGTGGTCCAGCCAATCTCTGAGGTCTCTTGAGTTGTATCCAGAAGTATTTCTGTTTATATTTAAAAAAATTAAATAAAAAGAGTATTTGGTGCTATTCCAAGTCAGACTAAAATCTTATCTGTTCCTTACAAGATTGTCTTGTAGAGGGCTTCCATACACCAAAAATATACATTAATGTTTTGAGATTAAATATGACAGTTATGCCCACACTAGCAAATTAAGAAGGCCTAAGATGGGGGCAGAGGCACTGGGCACATAATCATGCTAAGTCATGATTAGCAAGTTGCTTGGCAATGTTCTGACCAGACTTTCCCAGGCAAAATGTAATCACACTGACAGCATGGAGCAGAGTCATCATAATGAACATACAGACGAGACCACTCTCTTTTTGGAAAGGAAAAGGTGGGACAGAGAGATGAGTTACATGAATGCATGTCAGTCTCCTTAGGACTATGGTTGCCTGTTTTATTTGCAGGTGTAAATGTGGACACAAGGCCAAGACATGTTTGTTTCCAGTTCTGGAACCAAATTTCTTTTCGGGTTTAGGATGACGACCCAGTTGATCCTGTAATGGATTCACTTTGTTCTGGATCTGGGCATTACATTGCAAGCCTGAGTAGGAGTCCCAGTTTTATCAGGAAAATTAGTATTAAATAGTCTGTTCCATTATCCTGCTCAGGAGTAGGGCACAGGCCAAGTTTATTCCCACAACTGGTTTGCATTTCCATTGTTATTGAATCTACTACTGGAGGCAGATACTAGTCTTGACAGCTCTTGGACATGTTATTCTCTATTTGGGTACAAAGAAATACAGAAGAAATTGTGACAGTGCAAACTATAAACGTATCATTCTCCAAAATACTTGTCAAGGTCTGAGACGACCTTGGAAGTTACTAGTAAGGAAGCATGTGCACTTTAATGTGTAGATTTATAGTGAGTACACAGAAGAAGAACAAGACTCTCTTGAATAGATATTTATATGTGTTGATAAATACTGTATGAATGAAATGCTTTTTCTTTAATTCTGGAAAACTTTATTTGTTTATTTTGGCTTTCCTATTTCCATTTTGTTGCTTTAAAAAAGCAAAACCTTAAAAAAAGATCAAAAAAGCCAACCTGGAACCCAACAGCAACAGCCAGCTTATTTACAAATAGGATTCATTATTCCTATTCCTCTTGTAGAAGTTTATAGATATGACTGTTCCATGTTTTATGCAGGAGAGAGATCCTCAATGGTTTCTATTTCCAATTTATGGATTGCTGGTGTCACTATCCATACCAATGCACCTAGGGATTCACTCCACATTAATCATCAGAAAGGAAAGACTAGACTCATCCTAAAGCAGACATGATCAAGTGAGCAAGCTTATCCAGACCTCAGCCTTCACTGATGTCCCTGAACTATGTTCCCTATATACCTACAAGAGACCTTGTATTTCATAGACCTTCCCGAGGAGCTGATTCCTTGATTCAAAAGCTGCACAGAATACCTGGGCAGGCTTGCCAAAACTGAAAAGAGCTTACTGGTTAAGTACAACCCTCACTAAAATTGTCTAACAGACCTTGAGAAATGCTGAGCAGCTCAGTACTCAAGGGTAGCTTGGCTCAGATGGTTCTCTGAGCAGCAGAACCTCTGCAAAAGGCCTATGTCTCCCTGAGGCACAGTCTTCCCTAGGCTGTCCTGGCAGCAGAGGAACTTGGCATTCCCCCACACCCATTACGGTCTCAGTTGCATGGTCTGGCACAGGACTTGCACTGCCTCATGTCATTACTTCGCCACTGGGTTCCCAGACATTGCCTTGAAATAATATACAAGGTAATTTTTCAACACACAAAGAACTTTTTTTCTAATCAGGTTTGAGTCTCCCATTTACCAAAGTATAATGCCTCTACCCCATGGAAACTCTAGAAGAAAATAAAATAGAGGAAAGTTAATCAGGGCACAGAAAGCCAGATAAAAAGTGAGAAAGGCAAGAAGAGGAAAGAAAATAGAGAAGACTTGCTCAGCAGACTGCTTGCCATGTCAAGCATATTCTCCAGATAGCTTCTCACCAGTGAACAAGGTAATATTTATCAAGCACATAAGTATTTCACAAGCAAACAGAAATAGGCAGCCTGAAGCAGACAGAACTGTCCCTCTCACAGTGAATATTTTAAGTCAGAAAGCATTAGGAAAATAAGAAAAGTACACAAGAATTTTGTGTGCATAAATCTCATTTCACAACCTGCAGTCCAAAGTCCCTCACTATTTTAATTCTCTTTCTCCCTCTCCTACTGGCTCCATGCCTTGAATCAGATCCCCAGTCACACTAGCTGCAGGCACACTCACAAATCTAACAAGCTGTTAAACTGCTCTCTGATTCTGAGGACAACAGGCACAGTATGGTTCATGTTTACATGGCTAAAAATTCCAACTCCAAATAAGTGCATGGTTGCATCCAGTCATCTCTGAGGAGTGGTCCTTGGTCCACCCTAACTTCTGACCTATATGTAGACACTGTTTATCATAAGATTAACTGGCATGGGCCAAACACATGGATGTGCTAATAATTTAACACTATGAATGTGTTAAATGTGTTAAAAGCCTTCAATATGCCACTACATCAGTACTGATGATTGATGTGGCATTCCACATCCTCAGTGTACTCAGTATTCTGCTGCTCTTCAGTGCAGATATAAATGATCTGTTCAGCTGAATTTGCCAATTTGGAAAAAAAAATGGCTTACACCCTTTCTATCTTGCTCAAAATCAAGGATCTTGCAAGATCATGTTAGACCCAGGCTCAGTCCGGTCCCTGATGCTGCTAGAGGCAACACTGATTGAGGTCATCTCAGAGTACCAATGGAACAATATTCCATTCTACATTAAATATGGGGAATAAGTAAGACATCTGAGCAATCTGGAGGCTTTTAAACACATGAAATGATGACAATTCTTTTTGACTCCTGCTTTAATTTCAGTTTTGAAGAATGATATTCCAATTTCATATTATGAGAGCTATTTTAGTTCAAAGAAGAGAAAAACAACTGATGAGAGATTCCCCTGTATTTTTCTTCCCTGAACTAAAAAGAAAACGATCATATTTTACAGAGGAGTCAAATGGGTTCATTACAGTCTCTGTAAAACAAAATTTTAAACTAATTAAACTCTCATTGAAGTATCCTTTGTTCTTGCAGGCCAGAAAGAGTGAAAAAAAAATCCCCAATACTTAAGCTAGTACTAGTCTACACTTACATCACAAACCAACTTCTTGGGCTACGTTATACTATAATGTCAACATCAAGAACAACTGGCCAGTCTGGAAGTTGCTATTACAGATCAGGATGCTCAAAATAGTCATGTTAATGATTTCAAGGTTTTGGATAGCCTGTACCTTCAACCAAGACTATTTCGTGCTTACCTCACAGGCAAAATTTTCTCCTGATGTGAGTGGATGACAATTCACCCAAGGATGACCCTTAGATAACCTTAATGGAGGTAAAGATGGCCCAGCTGCTTTCTGAATTGAAGAATACTTGTCCTCAGTGTCTTAACAGTGCAGTGATGCAAGAGGGAATTATACAACCCAAGCCTGCCCAAACTATAGCCATTGACAAGAAAGTTGATCCTGAGAAGACAGCAAAAGAATCTCTTCATCTGTGGGATGAGAATCTGGTGCAAAGAATGACCACACCATTGAATTACAGAATGAAACAAGCTGGAAGGGAGGTACCAGAGGTCATCTTTACCAACACCCTGCTCAGGGCCAGGTTAAATTACAGTAGGTTGCTCAAAACCTTGTCCAGTTGAATTCTGAATATACCCAAATGTACATGAACACTGCTAGATAAGGCAGTACAGTAAAAGGTAACATTCAGAGAGTTAACTTTGCTATGGAGCTGAATGCCCCAAGCAGCAAAGCTCTAGCAGACTCCTTGAAAAGAACTGAAACGTTACTGAGCTTATTCTGCCTTCTATGATCATGCCTTGAATGTGAACAAGTAGGAAGACTGTGAATGCTCTCTAAGAAGGCTGGAAAGAGAAAGAATTCTCTGGGCTTGTGCAAAAATATTGTTAAGCGTTGTCAAATCCAGTAACCTCACATAAGCAAGGTTGCTGCAGCTTCATGTCTCTGGGTGCAACCAATAGCAAGGTTGAGTGGGTATTCCCAACAGGCACACACACAAACACATATAGGCACTGCACATATGTGAATGGCCAGCCACGAAGATTAACAAAGACAGAGCCACTCACCAGTCATGCAAATAGAAACAGCACCACCAATGGCCTCATCCTGCTCCCCTTTCTGGGTGGTTAGGATGAAGGTTTGTTAGAGGGAGATATATATGCATTTATATACAATATGGATCCCTGCAATAACTGTCCTTAACCATTTAGTCTCCAGAAGCTGACCTCTGGATCTGTCATCTCTCCATATGCTGGCACCTGAAGCTTGCAGCCCTACTCCTTTTGCTAGTATTCAGACAGCCTCACTCTCTGCTACATGCCTTCACACACACACAGAGGCACGCTATGGATCCTCTACTAACTGGCTTTTTAAGCATGCAACCTACCCAGTAGCTAGCCCTGGATTCTTGTTCTCCTAGGTTGCTGACACTTGGACTTCTGAGCCTCCAAGGTCTGCAGCCAGTTGCTGTAGTGCTGCCCCACTCCAGAGAACCCTACGTACATGTACAAACACATGCACAGGCACACACACTATGGATCTCTCCATTAACTGGTCTTAGACAATCAGCCTACCCAGGAGCTGGCCTTTGGATCATCTTGTCTCCAGTTGCACTGATATACACAACATATAGACAGGACTCCCAAAGAGCCCCAAGAACTTATGGTGACCTCAATAGTTGACCTGGGCCTCCTGATTCCCTCAGTAGACAGCCCCCTCCATCTGTCTTGCTCGCAGAGATGCACACATACAAACACATGTCCTATTCATCTTCCAGACTCTCTGGCCTTTCCCTGGTTTCTCAACCCACTTACTCTACTAACAAGCTAGTCTGGCTTGATATACAGATCACAGACTCACCAACAAAAGCTCACTCACTCCA